TCAGTTGCTTGGAATCAACACTCCGATTGCGTGAAGTTCGATCCGCTCAGCTTCCACTGTAACATGGGCCTTTTTTGCTCCCGCGGTGCGGCTGATGCAGTTGAGGCAACAATTGACCCCAAAAAGAAGGCACGTCTTCTGAAGAAAGCGGCACCACACTGTTCAGACGTAGTGGAGCACAACCGAAGAGCATTGAACCAATGCCTTACCACAGTACTCCCAAGACGTGGAGCAGCCATAAGTCGTAGTTGAACTAATGCTCTGTACGACGTAGTGTACAATGCCTTACCACGTCTTTTTGCCAAAGCGGAGCACAACCGAAGATATGCTTGTGAGGTTTGTCAGTTGTTTGTTTCATTGTTTTCACATGCTTTCACTCTTTCCATTCTATAATAGAGCTTCCGACAGTCGGCTTGCACCTCTCATGCGTTGGCATATCAGATCATGGATCAGTTGGCACCTATTGTCAACTCTGATGATCAATGTCCCCGACAATGTAGTTCAAGGATTGAAGAGCCACTCCTCCTTCACTCCTTCTTGCCTAATACAATTCATGATATCCTGATGAGTGTAACATCTACTGGGTGGAGTCTGCAGCATCCCAGCTTCTGACCCGCTTAAACTACAAGGGAAGGAAGAAAGAAAGGTCTAAAGCCTGAAGGTGTACAAGGAACAAAGGAACAAAGGCGACACCGGAAAGGTGCCTCTGCCAGACGACTTTGAAGCCTCGGTGGCAGAGATCGAGGCGGGTCGGTCACCAAGGACAGTTGATCACGGCCTTCAAATCTGTTAAAGTCACCATAGAAGGTTTCGAACGGTTTTGAGGCCTGAGGGTTTGCATGAGACTTTGCAGATGGACTAAGATTTCAGGTGGGGCTTCTTAAGCGGGTCACACTGTCGTACTCATGTTGTTCGGCTTTTGCTCTTTTGCTAGGCAATCGACTTTGGATTGCCTTCACTGTTGCGGAGCCTTCTTGAAAAGCAGTCTAAGGCCAAGCATCCGAGCCAGTTGACCAGCTTCAGCCAGAGTCCGATTCAGGCCAGGCAGGCTATGAAGCGATTGACTCTTCAGAACAAGACATCATATTCTTTGCTGGTGGCTTCTGGCAAAATCGCACGCGAGGTGCAAGATAAGTTTACCAGCACTGCCAGCACTTGCTAAATCCGTCAGTGAGTCAAGTTTCCCTAAAACTCGACGAGCAAATCATTAGTGCGAGCGCTTCCTTGAAGAAGCGTGAGCTATCATGCGTCCACTGCCTCCATGTCTAGTAGCGAACTCACCCACCCGCTCACCTTGTTTTTTGGGCAGCAGGTGCCAGCCCACCCATGCCTGCCTGGCTGGGTGGCTGCAGTGCAACCGCAAAAGAGAAGTGCTGGATTTTGGGAGGGCTTCCCAAAGACCCTTCAAACCCACCCTAAACACTTTGGCAGGAGGCAAATATTGTGTCCAAACCCAGATCCAGCCAGGCAGTGAACTACCTGTCCAAGGACCACTGCAACTACTCCACCAGTGGCTTTGACGCTTCTGAGGCATTGCTTCTGAACGGATAAAGATGGAAAGAGTGTGCAGGAAAAAGGGGAAAGAAAGACAGGAAGACAGAACGAAAGAAGGAAGGAAAGCGTAAGAAACAAACATTAGCAGCTTTGTTCATTCCATTCCGCCATTCATGGGAGTAGTCAGTGGGAGACTTTGTTGTTGTGGTGACCCGCGCCCACAAACAGAGTATATAGTCTTTCACATGCCAGCAATATCCAGGACGAGAGTCCTCTCCCTACGTGTAAGGGCAGTCGTTCTTTTTTTTCAGCGCCCTTTTCCCGTCGCTCGACATTGAGCGGGCACAGGGCTTGGTCTTCGGGTGGGTGGATTATTGTGGAATCCTGTGAGCAAGTAATTTCGCAAAATTTCCCTGCAACTCAAGCATGATCAAGTAGACGACACGGAAGATAGATAACCAAAGTGAACGTGGTGCCAGCCTGCCTTGTTTGCTCTCTTACTTTTGCCACAACTAGTTGATTTGGTCCTTCCTTGGGATTGCAGAATTCTTTACAATTTCCAAACTTTTCACAATCGCTAGGCTCGCTAGGTTTGATGTGAGAAGAGTGGGACTAGCTCTGGTTGTGCAATGACTGGCCGCAAGCAACCGACATACTACACAGGAGGAGGAATTCTACATCATTGTGTCCCTTGGCAAGCGAGGCTACATCCTCAAGGCATCTGTCAAACCCGTTCTATCGACATTTTGTTGCAATGAGATGTTCCGGGAAGTCACAGCTTAGGTCACATGTGGTGGACGTTTTTCGATGTTTTTCTCGCATACTTCTATGTGGTCTCAGCGTGCTTTTTTTGGCTTCGGTTCTTCAATGCTCAAATCCGAGCTTCGGTGCTTCCTGGATTAGGTGGAACATGTGTGAAGGGGGTCTGAAGAACGAAGGTTCCATTTCACCTGCTAGGCTGGCTACTATTGGTTTTCTGAAGATCGTGGTGACTCGGAGCTGCCCGTTTGTGAGTCGAAAGTCAAGCCCGAGTTGCCCTCCCCTTTGCTTGATCATTAAGTAGAGGTGCCTACTTTGTTGTCTCACTATTGATGGCTCCTAGATTTTTAGGACAAATTAACGCCTTTTTTTGCCAAAAAGGTCTTAAGTCTTTCGTTGTTGCGAGAATTTCGATTTCGAACCGAGAGGACCGCCAGGAGTTCCGGCACTTTGCCCAATCCATCTCCGGTGGCCCGGAGTTTGGCCAAGACGGTACCAAACCCGAGGACATCGTCGAGGAGAGGAAGTTGGAGAGAGATGAATGATTCAATCGGTACGAAGGTGACAAGAAAAACAGATGAAAAAAGGACTAAACATGAACACAAATAGCAGACATGTGACATATGTCACTAGCATGTTGCAGTATGTTTGTGTTTGGTTTTGAAAGATGCCTTCATCGAGTTCCGGGTGCACCTCCCAGGAGATGTCTTTGTCGTCTTTGTCTTCGTCTCAGAAGACTCAACTGCGGCAAGTGCTGCGGAAATGTACCCAGCGCCACTGAGCGCTCGAACCGCTCGGTGCTCGGCGGTCTAGTCGGTGCGGGTGAAGATCCCGAGAGGGATTCACTCGGGATCGCTACTAGGAACAAGTGCATCGCTACTAGTAACAAGTGCCTTACTAGTAGTAACATGTAGTAACAAGTGCCTTACTAGTAGTAACAATGTTTGCTACTAAAAGCAAGTGCCTTACTACTAGTAACAAGAAGAATTTAATTAGAATTGTAATGGTGGGGGAAGTTTTCGAGAGACATCCTCTACTAGGAACAAGTGCATCTTTTTTTTTTTTTCGGCCCTTCCGAAGGATTGGAGCCGAGCAGGGTGAGTTATATCCATCCGCGTCGTTGACCGCTTCGGAGCAGGTTGGTTAAACAGTTGGCCACCTCTCTGAAGCTTTGATAGAACAGCTGCAAAACGAGGTGTCTTTCTGTTCCTTTCCTTCTGTAAATGTATTCTTGGACTGAAGCTTGCGATGGTCCTTGGAAGATGCAGATCACTGCTAATGCATGGAGGATGCATTCCTTCCTGTATGCTTTGACGGCTCAGAAGCATAGAAGGGTGGTTTTTATGTCAGGTTCCAACGATGGTTGGGTCCGAGTCAGAGCCATGCTTCTGGGATGTTTGGGAACTGCAGCATTGAAGACCGTGCATAAGGCATGAAGCAATGTCTGATAATGTTCCTCAGCACATGATTCTTGAGCATGTCTGCCACATGACCAAAGAATGACGTCATGGCTTGCCGAGTCGGGGCCTAATTCTTGCATGGCTCAACTCACAGTGATTGACGCCGAGCTTCAAAGCTGACCGGTGCCAAGGTCTTGCACGAGGACTTCGGACTGCTAGGCACAAGAAAGCAAGAATGGAAGAATAGAGCGAACTGCCAAAGCACAGACAGGTTTTGTCAGGTCTAAGAGCCTTGTGAGTTGTGAGGTTGATCCAAAGCGTGTGTGAAAAGGAGGTGTTGTCAGCTTCGGAAGAACATCATCCGGGAATGACGACCCAATCATCCTGTCAGTATTTGACCTTGGCTTATGCTTATCAGGCGGGCCTTTTTGGCCGCGCCGCTTTCATCATCGGGTCGCCTTCGCAGATGCTCCAGAGGAGGACTGCCTTTGGAACAAGACACAATTTTGAGACTAAATCCTACCTTGACATCCTTGACTGGATCATCCTATAGTTTATTGTTCTTTTTTCTTCTTCCATTTCGATGTCATTATGATTTCATCCACCAAATCTCGTTCCATTCTTGGACGGCAGGAAGCGCGACAAGAGCCGTCCTGGCCGAACATTTTGCCGATCTATCTGAAGACCAAGGCACCACACTGTCGTCCCTTCCAGACCTTCACTGTCTACGTGAGTACATTCGTTCGGCTTCCCTGATCAAATCCCGAGGAAGCCCTGATCAAATCACTGGGACCTCCTGCGACCCCCGACGCGTTTGTTGCCGAGTTGCGGCACTGGCGGTCCTTGCTCAGTTGAAGAGAGATCTGAGCGCCGACGTGGATGCTGCCTTAAGGCTTGCCTGGGCCAGGAAAAATTTCGACCTGATGGCTAGAACATGTATAGTTTGTAATATGGTAGTAGTAACAAGTGCCACGCCACTAGTAACAAGAAGCTATTAGAAACAATAAGCTACTAGGAACAAGTACCACGCTACTAGGAACAAGTGCCTTACTAGTAGTAACAAGAAGCTAGTTTTTTTAGAAGCATGATTCTAAGAGGACCCTGTTCCAGCTGAGTTTTCTGTGTCCTTGACCGGCTCATGTTTCTTCACAACAGAGCTGCGAGGAAAGTAGGAGCCACACGTGCTGCAGGGCGAGCCAAGGCCCGAACGTGTCGGTGTTGACTTCGCTGATGTGGAATTGGTTTGCCACAAGACCTGATGGTCACCATGGTCACCTTCATCTTGTCAGGTCCAACAAGACGAGATGGAGGCGCAACTACAACAGGCGTGGCTGCCCTACTGGCCCAGCATGTAGCATGCACAAAGCACTAAAGACGGAAGGCGGCCAAGGTGGCCGGCAGCAAACATCTCGTTTTGTCCCACATTCTTCGCATCACGCCGTCTCCGCATCTTTTCTTTTCCGACGTGACCCCGTTGTGAGGTAGGTTGGAGGCCATCGCTATCATTATCTGTTTTTCCTTTTTTTTGTGACCGTTTCGGCTCAGTTGGACCCGTGAAACACACGCCAATCGCGCGACCTTGTGGAGCCATGCCGCCGAAGAAGGGGCCAACTGTTAAGGGCAGAGCGAGCCTTGGGCCGAGCCGTTGCAAGAGCTTTTGGATGCTTTTTGGTGCTTGTTGCTTTGGACAAACTGGTGAGGTGTGGTTTTTGAGCTTTGAAGGATAACAAGGTGTAAAGCGGATAGAACATGATAGAACGAGGATTTTTTTCCGAAGGGTTTTCCTCATCTGAGGGGCGTGGGCTCCGCCTCGAAGCGTGTCACGGAGGCTGCGAAGCGTGGCCCAAAGACCAAAGCGCTACCGCCTTTGAAAGCGAAGGTGGGAGGGGTAGCGCTTTGGGATTTCTTGTGAGGTCACCGTATCATCATACCCGCTCGATAGCGGGGGAGGGGCCCGTTGTTTCAATTGGGGTGTGGCATTGTAAAGCAAAAAAAGGATACGGTGAGCTGGTAAAATGGTATTTATACAGTGAGCCGGTTTCAAGGCAAATGGGTCTACAGTGAGCCGTATGAAATGGTCTACTGCTCACCGTAGACCATTTGGCCTTTACAAACGAACCCCCTCCCCAAAAAATCGGAACAACAATACCCACCCCCTATTGCTATAACAATGCTTGAAACAACAACCCTTCCAGCTATCGGAGCGGTCTGCGTGTGAGTGCCTCGGTTTACACAGAGGTGGTGAGACAGAAGCGATTGGGAAACCTACAAATGGCTACCAACCGAGAAGCGATGGCCTCCAACCTAAGAGCGATGGCCTCCAACCTACTAGAGATGTGTTTTAAGATAATTGAAACAAGCTGTTTGAATTTGTGCATTGCTCTTTGGAGATTTCAGCATCCTGCAAGGCTACGACAAAAAGGTTCGAGTCAGCGACAAAGAAGAGCGGTCTGACCAACATCCTGTGGGATCCAAGCTCATCTGCGTGGCAGATCAACTATCCCACCTTTGATGAGGAGGGCCGAATCACTGGAAACAAAAGCCGCACCTTTCCAGTCAGCAAGCCGCCAGACTGCAAAGATGGATCATGTGCACACTGTTCTCCTGCAGTTAATGTTTCCTAACTCAACAGTCGGATGCAGATTGCCATGCTGATGATGCTGACAATGCCAGTTCGCTCTGCCGCATAATATGCATCATGCAGAAATGAAGCTTTCTGAACGTAAGAAGCTACTAGGGGCTCCTGGCATCGCTACTAGGAGCAAGGACGCTACTAGGGGCTCCTGGCCTTACTACTATTAGGAGCTGTTCCCCACGCTTGGTTCGCTTCTTGACGTCGTCGCTTCTTCGGTACCTCACGTGACGTCTGCTCTCAGGTACCTCACAGACGGTCGAGACGAGTCGGCCGCAGAGCAGGCGGCGCTGGCCTCCGCGCAGGACTTCCGGCGGCGGCTGCGAAAGAACGGCACGATGCTGGCGAAGGGCGAAGCGACTTGGTGCAGGGCACGGCAGCGCTGGCGGGCCAAGGTCACCACCAAGAATGGCAGGCACGGAACATGTTAAGAAACGGCACACCCTGACTGGCCCTGACTCACTTCTCTGTTTTCTCAGTTTTCTTTTCGGCATTCGAGTTTCAAAAGTGCTTTCGATCGGGTGGACAGGGTCATCTTTGGGAACTACTTCACCGACAAGGCTCAGGCGTTCACCGAGGCGCAGGAGCTGGCGCCTGCCTATGGCGTGCAGGGTCCAAAGCGCTTAGCCCGTCCGAGGAAAGCTGCGAGTGCGAGCAAGTAGCATGTGGCGGCCAAGAGTGTGTGGCTACATGTTGGATTCAGAGAAGAGCGGGGAAAGCTGGGAAAAAAAGAGCAGTCATGGCCGTCGCTTGGAACAATCGAGCTAAAATCTGAGGGACCACTTCTTCAATTGTGCCCTTTGTTCCGAGTAGCGTCCTTGCTCCTAGTAGTAAGGCCAGGAGCTACTAATAGTGTCCTTGCTACTAGGTGATGGGATTGAAGGATTGGACCCAGTGCACTGAGTGCAGCGAGTACGCCTAGTGCAGCTCAGACTCACCCATGCAGGCCAAGCAGACGGCCAAAGACATCAGCCGCCAGCCAGCCGATAACCAGGAGAAACATGGAGAAACTGAGACTGGCTTCTCGGAGAAGACATTCCTTGGAATATCATGTCCACATATCCTTCTAGCTGCCTTTTAATTCAGAGCTTGCGGTGGCTTTCGGAAAGGCTTTTGTTCGGCAAGATTCCTCGAGATTTTCTCTGATGAGCCAAGTGAAGGTTTCAGTTCTCTTCTTATGCATCCCCAAACTGCGACAGCTTATCATCGCACCTTTCACTGTATTTCAGGAGGCAGAGAAGAACAAGATGATGCAGTTACAGGACCATTCCTTCACGATTGTTGCAGTTACAGGTGATGTGTGATGCTTTGGCCGATTGTGATGCTACACGCCATATCTGAAGGATGCGATGCATTCCAAGCAAGACCTGATGAAGCGGGAGGCACCAGTTGATGTACACAAGTTGTTTTGAAGCATTCGGATGGTCTTGGTACTGTATATTGCCGTGGTAAACAAGCGGATGCTATTTGGTGGAGGCCATTGCAAGTATAGGTGGAGGCCATCGCTATTAGGTTGGAGGCCATCGCTACTAGTAACAAGAAGCGACTAGTCGCTGGAAGCTGCTAGGTAGAGGCCATCGCTATTAGGTTGGAGGCCATTGCTACCGGTAGCAAGAAGCTACTAGGTGGAGGCCATCGCTACTAGAAAAAGAGGCTACTAGTAGCTAGAAGCTACTAGGTGGAGGCCATCGCTATTAGGTTGGAGAGCATTGCTACTAGTAGCAAGAAGCACTAGTAGCTAGAAGCTACTAGGTGGAGGCCATCGCTACTTGTAACGAGAAGCTACTAGTAGCTAGAAGCTACTAGGTGTTGGCCACCGCTATTAGGTTGGAGGCCATCGCTACTAGTAACAAGAAGCTACTAGAAGCTAGAAGCTACTAGGTGGAGGCCACCGCTACTAGGTTGGAGGCCATTGCTACTAGTAACAAGAAGCTACTAGTAACTAGAAGCTACTAGGTGGAGGCCATCGCCATTAGGTTGGAGGCCATCGCTACCAGTAACAAGAAGCTACCTGTAGCTAGAAGCTACTAGGTGGAGGCCATCGCTATTAGGTTGGAGGCCATTACTACTAGGAACAAGAAGCTCCTAGTATCTAGAAGCTACTAGGTGGAGGCCATCGCTATTAAGTTGGAGGCCATTGCTACTAGTAAGAAGAAGCTACTAGTAGCTAGAAGCTACTAGGTGGAGGCCATCGTTATTAGGGTGGAGGCCATCGCTACTAGTAACAAGAAGCTACTAGTAGCTAGAAGCTATTAGGTGGAGGTTATCGCTGCTAGTAACAAAAGCTTTTAGTAGCTAGAGGCTACTAGGTGGAGGCCACCGCTATTAGTTGGAGGCGATCGCTACTAGCAGCAAGAAGGTACTAGAAGCTAGAAGCTACTAGGTGGAGGCCCCCGCTATTAGGTCGGAGGCCATTGCTAATAGTCACAAGAACCTACTAGTAGCTACTAGAAGCTACTAGGTGGAGGCCATCGCTATTAGGTTGGAGGCCATCACTACTAGTAACAAGCAGCTACTAGTAGCTAGAAGCTACTAGGTGGAGGCCATCGCTATTGGGTTGGAGGCCATCGCCACTAGATTTAAGAAGCGACTTTTGGCTGGAAGCTGCTAGGTAGAGGCCATCGCTATTCGGTTGGAGGCCATTGCTACTAGTAGCAAGAAGCACTAGTAGCTAGAAGCTACTAGGTGGAGGCCATCGCTACTAGAAAAAGAAGCTGCTAGTAGCTAGAAGCTACTAGGTGGAGGCCATCGCTATTAGGTTGGAGGCCATCGCTACTAGCAACCAGAAGCTACTAGTAGCTAGAAGCTACTAGGTGGAGGCCATCGCTACTAGGTTGGAGGCCATCACTACAGGTAATAAGAAGCTACTAGTAGCTAGAAGCTACTAGGTGGAGGCCATCGCTACAAGTCTGGAGGCCGTCACTACTACCGTAGATGGACGAAATATTCAAACCCTTCCAACCACGTGGACCCCTTCTACCCCAAAGCTCAATGTTAGAGATCTTGTCGGAGTGTTTGGGCGAATGGACGAAACAAATCAAACCCTGGAAACACACGATTCAATCAAGTCATGTTCAACATTGACCTTTGGGGGTCAGGGGTTGACCAAAGTTATTGATACAGGGGTTTGAATATTTTGTCCATCTACTGTAGTAACAAGAAGCTACTTGTAGCTAGAAGCTGCTAGGTAGAGGCCATCGCTATTAGGTTGGAGACCATTACTACTAGTAAGAAGAAGCTACTAGTAGCAAGAAGCTACTAGGTGGCGGCCATCACCATGAGGTTGGAGGCCATTGCTACTAGTAGCAAGAGGCACTAGTAGCTAGAAGCTACTAGGTGGAGGCCATCGCTATTAGGTTGGAGGCCATTGCCACAAAGCTACTAGGTGGAGGCAATCGCTATTAGCTACTAGGTGGAGTCCATCGCTACTAGTAACAAGAAGCTACTAGAAGCTAGAAACTACTAGGTGGAGGCCATCGCTATTAGGTTGGAGGCCATTGCTCCTAGCAACAAGAAGCTACTAGTAGCTAGAAGCTACGAGGTGGAGGCCATCGCTATTAGGTTGGAGGCCATCGCTACTAGTAACAAGAAGCTACTAGAAGCTAGAAGCTTCTAGGTGGAGGCCACTGCTATTAGGTTGGAGGCCTTTGCTACTAGTAGCAAGAAGCACTAGTAGCTGGAAGCCACTATGTGGAGGCCATCGCTACTAGTAACAAGAAGCTAGTAAAAGCTAGAAGCTACTAGGTGGAGGCCATCGTAGGTGGAGGCAAGCGCTATTAGGTTGGAGGCCACTCGTACTAGTAGCAAGAACCACTAGTAGCTAGAAGCTTCTAGGTGGGGGGCCACCGCTATTAGGTTGCAGGCCATCGTCAGTAGTAACAAGAAGCTAATAGAAGCTAGAAGCTACTAGGTGGAGGCCAGTGCTATTAGGTTGGAGGCCTTTGCCACTAGTAACAAGAAGCTACTAGGTTGAGGCCGCCGCTATTACGTTGGAGGCCATTGCTACTGGTAGCAAAAAGCGCCAGGAGCTAGAAGCTACTAGGCGGAGGCCATCGCTGGTAGTAACAAGAAGCTTTTAGTAGCTAGAAGCTACTAGGTGGAGGCCACTGCTATTAGGTTGGAGGCCATCGCTACTAGAAGCTAGAAGCTAGTAGGGGGAGGCCACCGCTATTTGCCACTAGCAACAAGAAGCTGCTAGTAGGTAGAAGCTACTAGGGGGCAGCCACCGCTATTAGGTTGGAGGCCATTGCTAGTAGTAACAGGAAGCTACTAGTAGCTAGAAGCCACTAGGGGGGAGGCCACCGCTATTAGGGTGGAGGCCATTGCCACTAGCAACAAGAAGCTGCTAGTAGAAGCTACTAGGGGGGAGGCCGCCGCTATTAGGTTTGAGGCCATTGCTACTAGTAACAAGAACCTACTAGTAGCTAGAAGCTACTAGCCCGCTATTAGGCTGGAGGCCATCGCTACTAGTAACAAGAAGCTACTAGAAGCTAGAAGCTACTAGGTGGAGGCCAC